CCCACGTGCCTAATACTGGGTATGTTTTTGTTTTTGCCAATCTGATAGGGACAAACTTTGTCTTACTGTTTTAATTGCCTTGCTCTGATCGCAAAGGAGTGGCAGTAACTGCTTTTTCAAGTACTCATATATTTATTACCCAAACATATATAGATTGGGTGATTTCTAAGATCCTTTACCGCTGTAAAATTTGACTTGTGTGATTTATGCTCTGGCAAGAAATGATGGTTATGACAATGCTGGCTGAAGCCAGAACCGGCTTTATGGAGCATGTGATTGTTTAATTGTGTTTCCTAGGTGCTGGGACGGCCCACATGCTCACCAACGTCCTCCTACAGGATATCCATTAATAGAGCCACATCTCTTTATATTTAGCCCAAGGCAAAAAATGCCAATGCCCCCAGAAGAGGCACAAGTTAGCACACGGGGATCAGAGCAAGTTTTACCTAAAATTAGGCAACTGATGTTTGTGAGGGCAAAAGAACCTGGAAGACTACAGGACAGAATTGACCTACTTCGCATTTTTACCAAAAGTCACCTGTTTCCCAGAGGGGAGACTGTGTTGTCATGAAATGGGCCTTAAATATAGAGTCAGAAGATTTAGGGTGTGGTCCTGACTCACAACACACTCATGTGAGGTCTTGGGTTATTTCCATACTGCCTCATTTTTCTAGTCTACTAAGTGGCAATATTCCCTGTTACACCAAATTATTACAAAGTTTAAATAAGAAAATGCAATGGAAAAAAAAATACAGTGTTCTCCCTCAAAGCCAGTGAGAGCTATGAGTTCTCTCCCACACCCGGGGGCCCCAGAAACAGCAGAGCTGGGCCGGCAGTCAGATGCAAGTGCCTGGCAACTGTACCCCTCCACTTGGGCCACAACCCCAAAATGACTCTTCTGAGAAGCACACAGGTGAGAAGAGCCACACGCGACCATGCTCACCCATTCCAAAATTCAACACACTTGGGCTGAGGTCCCTGTGCCAGGTCTTTCTTCATCTCCTAAAAAGATGAAGATGGTAATTGAGGTGCCCAGATGGGCTTTGTTTATGTTTTACTAATTTCTCAGGTTATCATATTCCACTGTGTTTCCTCTGTTGTTGCTATTATTTTACAAACTCTTCCTTGTAAATCAAAGTGGTGGCTAAACTTGGGAGACAGCTAGCAGCCTGGCCCTCGCCTTATGCCATAGAGAGCCATCTGCCCAGAGTCCATGCTCTCCAATCCCTAATTAAAAATTGTGATAGGAAGCCCCTAGGGCTTACATCTCCTATCCCCATGACATTTAGATGTGACCATGTAACAAGTTTTTACCCAGAGAGAGTGTGAGTTTGAATCACATGTGTGATTTCCTGATCAGAGTTTGTTTTGTTTTGTTTTAAGGTTTTATTTATTTATTTGACACAGAGAGAGAGAGCGAGAGAGAGTGCACACAAGCAGGGGGAGTGGCAGGCAGAGAGAGAGAGAGAAGCAGGCTCCCTGCAGAGCAGGGGAGCCCGATGCGGGGCTCGATCCCAGGACCCTAGGATCACGACCTGAGCCGAAGGCAAACGCTTAACCAACTGAGCCACCCAGGGGCCCCTCCTGAGCGGAGTTTTTGAAAAGTGGGAGTACCTGCTTCACGTTCCCTTTCATCTTCTGCCAGCCGGACACAGATGATCATGTGGCTGAGAGAATGGCTGAACCGCACAGTGGAAGGAATCTTGGTCCCCGGGGAACCACGATGAGGAAATCTGGCTGGCCTTGACTATTATTACTATTATTTAAGTGAGAAATAAAATTCTACTATTTAATTTTGAAGTCTGTTTGTTCCAGCAGCTGCCATGACTTTAACATCCTGCCTGAACACATTTCGCCAACATGACCATTTGAATAAACAAGATACTCACAAACCTCATGACACTCCCAATAGACATCTTCATTACAGCCTAGAATTTTCTTCAAACAGAAAGCTCATTAAATTACCCTCATGTCATAGGACAGCTCCATTCTGCTACATCCAGCAATTCTTGGCTTGTGCTTTGAAAATCTCTGAAGCATGAGGAACAGATGTTTTACAACAAAAACTTACAACAAATATGTTGATTGTATGTTACCGAAAATTATCTGGAAGTGTGCAAGATTCAAAGAAATATTGTAAGAATAAGATCAGTCTCATCCAGGAGCCTACAGTTTAAAATGGGAAGGCAAGATGTTTATATAAATAACTCTACTTCAAGACAGTATGTCTGGTTCTTACCAGGAATAGCTGCCCTAAGACTTTTAAAGAGGGTGAGATAATTTTTATTTGGGGGCAGTAAGGGAAAGCTTCATGGGGGAAATGGGATTTGAGCTGTGGCTTGCAAGGTGGGTGGAATTAAGTGGTAGAGTCATGGATGGAGGCCAACAGAAATTAAAGTGGCAAGTTAAGTTACTGTTATATGCTAGACATCTAGAAGGTCTTGAATGGCAGCCTGAGGAAGTTAGACATCATTATAAAGGCAACAAGAAGCTGGTTATTTTAGATCTCCCTTAAGTCCTAAAATGTTAGAGCTAAATATGTGACTTACCCATAGCAAAAGCCATGCAGCTGCCTGTTCTTTTCAGAAATATACTCCAAGCCTGCTCTGTTTTCCTGTGGCCTACTTTCATGGTCCCTAAATTTCAGTAATTCAAATGCCACCTTCACAGTTTCATTCCATTCCCATGTACGGTTTACACAGTTATTACTTAATATTTTTCTTTAAGGCTACTTCTCATTTCTTTCTAAGCAAAAAATATCTGTGAAATTACAGAGTAGACTACATACTAGGTAAAATTTTTTCTAATGTATCATCAAATAAATGTATGCCTATTAAAAGTTTAATAAAAGTGTTCTTCCGTTTGCCACCGACATATGCTCAGGTCCTATTAGTGGCTCATAGGTCACAGTTGGAAATCAGGGTCCTGCTCTGAACCAGCACACACATCCTCCCTCCTGAATTCCCAAGTCACTTATCTGTCCACACTCACTCCCCCATCTTATTGGGTCCATGGTTGGGCTCAGTAACTGATGAGTAGGTAATGTTGCCACAGATATTCCTAAAATCTTACTTGGATTCAACAAAATGAAAGTTTTTGCTCACAACACAGGTAAGACAGCCTTCCTCCATCTCATAGCTAAATTCATCTAGAATGCAAGGCCTCCAGAGTCACCATGGTGGAGAGAGAGAGAGATAGAGAGAGGAGCTGGAGATCATTTGGGTTTATTGAAGCACCAGGTTTGGAAATAGCCAAATTTCCAATTTGTGCTCACATCCCATTGGCCCTGTAGGCCCAACCCAGCTGCAAGGGAGGTTGAGAAATACAGCCAATCTTACAGATATTAGTGAGCACCGAGGGATCTCCACCACGGTAAACTAATTACAACTGACCTAGAGATCCTGTGGGTCGTTGCTCCAAAACTGCCCCAGGATAGAGCTGGGTGTCTCAGATCTGCCCTTTCTAGCTTCCAGAGGCCACACACGTTCCTTGGCCCCTGGCCTCCTTCCATCCTCAAAACCAGCAATATTGCACTAATTCTTTTTCACACCTATCACTTTAACACCAGCTCCTCTGCCTTCCCTCTTCCACTTTTAAGGATCCCTGTGGGATGACATTGGATCCACCACGATAGTCCAAGATAATCTCCTCATCTCAAATTCAGCTGATCAGCAATTTAATTCCATCGGCAACCTTAATTCTCCTTTGCCATGTAACAGAACCTATTCACAAGTCCTGGAATTTAGGACAGAGACATCTTTGGGGGGGCCAATCTTCTGTTCACCACAGAGGCCAACAGGCCATAACCAGGCCACGGACATGTTTTGTTTCATCAGCCTGGTGTTTCCTTTTCCTTTCCTCTTTTAAAAAATACCTTTTGTATTGGGATATTTTATGTATTTTTAATATAGCTTCTCTTAAAACCTCAAGAGATCTAGGAACAAGGGCCTGGATTCCCTCATCAAAACAATGGGCTGGTATTACAACAGTCAAGATATAGAAGCAGTGCAAGTGTCCATCGATAGATGAATGGATAAAGAAGATGTGGTACATATAAATATATGAATAATATGATAGATGTTAGATAAATATATATATATATGGGATATTATTCAGCCATAAAAAAGAATGAAATCTTGCCATTTGCAATGACATGGATGGAGCTAGAGAGAAAATGCTAAGCAAAATAAGTTAGAGAAAGACAAATACCATATGATTTCACTCATGTGGAATTTAAGAAACAAAACGGGGGCAGGGGGCGGAAAGAGAGAGACAAACCAAGAAACAGACCCGTAACTATAGAGAACAACTATAGAGAACAAATGGATGGTTACCTCGGTTACAAGGAACAAACTGATAGTTACCAGGGGGGAGGTGGCTGGGGGGATGGGCTAGATGGGTGATGGGGATTAAGGAGCGCACTTGTTGCAATGAGCACCTGGGTAATGTTTGAAATTGTTGAATCATGATATTATACACCCAAACCTAGTATAACACTGTATATTAACTCTTACGGAATCAAAATTTTAAACTTAATTTAAAAAAAAGAAAGAAACAATGAGCTGGTGCCACGGAGTGGCTGCCCTGTTTAAAATGGGGCATGGGCCCCCCTGATGCGTGACTTCGGCCACTTCCTACTGCCACACACTCCTGGCCCACTTCAAATTCTGTGACCTGCCTTACCCCCCCCTTTAAACTTGCAAACTTTGCACCAGCTGTCACTTCACTCTGTCCGTGGTCTTCAGACCTCCACCCTCTGTTGGCAGAACGCCCCTGGTTCAGGAGTCCGCCATCTGCACAGAAAGTCCCGAGAGCCCTTGCTTCTGACTCTAGAACGCTCAGGAGGAAGGCCGAGCTGCGGCGAGACAACCGAGAGAACCGCAGGCACTCGCGGATCCCGCCCCGCCCTCCCCCGGCCAAACCTTTCAGGCCTCTGCGTCCTAAATCTGCTGGAGAAGCAGGGACCGAAGTGCATCCTAGAGCAAGCGACAAAGTTTTAATTTGCTGTCGCTTGAGTAATGCGTGTCCCTCTTCCTTTCTCTCTTCAGTCCGTGCTAAGACACCTCCTCTGATGAATTTCTTGACTCTGACAACAGGCCCCCTGCTGGCGCCCGTCCAAGCGGCACGCTGCGCGCTTTCACTGTCCTCGCGGGCTTCAGTGAAGGGCATCCCGCTTTGTTCCTCCCGCCCAGGGCCCAGATCCGCCGCCGGCGCCCGCATTAATGACACTGCAGGCCTGGCCCTTCGATCTTCATCAGCGGCCGCGCATCACTCGCCGCACGGCGGCTGGGAAGGTGCGGGCGCTGCGAGGGAGACGAGCTCTTCGGGACGCAGGACCCAGGTCAGCTGCGGGGCCTCGGCCCCAGACACCCGGAAATCGCATTAGCCCGGCAAGTCTCTCCCGTCACCCCGACGGGGCGCGGAAGAAAGAGACCTCAAACACCTAAATTACGCTGACACTCTTACCAAGGTCACAGGAGGGACAAGGGCAGGAGCCCTCCGGCTGAGTCCAGTATTCCCCCAGCCTCCCTCTCCTGTGCTCCACCTTGGTGGGTTTTGCCATGTCTGCAAAATACCTGTAACTTTATTTATTTACCATTTTCCTTAAATCAACTGTATACTGATTGGCTTTTATTTAGCCCCATTCCAGGCAACAATAACATGCCTCAGGGCGCCGCTGGGATACTAGAGTCCAAGGGAAAGCACGTGTCATGGGGCAGGAGGTCAGAGTAGGCACACTAATGTGGTAACTTCCTGGCCAGGCTCCCCCCCCCCCCCGCCCCCCGCCCCGCCATGAAGCTCACAGCATTCATTCTTCCGCAGACCTCACTGCCCTGTTCAAGTATGCTTGCATGTTCCTTGAAGCAGACTGGGGAGAGAGACCACACTTGCAGTCAGAGTGTGAAAATTTCCCCCGGGGTGGGGGGCTGGCCAGGAGGGGTTGTCGCAGGGACTGCTGAGGGGGAGGGGGCAGGCCCTCAGGAGCGCTGAACGGGGTAAGTGAGGTGGGTGACTGTGTCACTGTGGCTGAAGGCTCTGGGGGTGGATGCCCTCGGGTGAGAACGTGAGGAACACACGTCTTCAGAGTCTGAAGGGATTTTCCGTCCTCAGGCCTGGCCCCCGCAGAGCTCTAATGCCACCACAGAATGAGAGAAATGCAACGCAAAGCCCCTCTTCTCTCCTGTGAGAATCAACCTCCTCACACGCCGCATCACTGTATCTCAGCTACCCTGTGGAATCAAGAGAATGGGCTTCAGGTTCAGCTGTGTGGGAGACCAGCTGTGTAACCACAGGAGACGTTTTACAGCTCCGGATTCCAGGCCCAAAAGTGCAAGTGAGGGGTTGGGCCACCCCTGCCCATGGAGCTGTGACAGGCACCCCTACGCCCAGGGGGCCTAATGCAGGTCAGTCTCCAGGAGGGCTGCTTATTGTTTCTGCCAATGAAACATGTATTTTCACTTCAGTACTCCACTTAGAAAACAAAATTAGGAAGACAGAAATTAGGCCGGGCGAGGCTAAGGCAGAGGCGACTCTGCATGGCACCATCGGAGGTTCAGGCCCATATCTCCTCAGTATCTGTTCCCAGGAAACAAACACTGCTCCCCTACAGTCAAGGACCTTAGTGGTATGAGATGAGTGCCTGATGATCCATAGCCAGGGAGAGGAAGAGAGCAGCATTCCTGCTGGATTCAGCCACACTAGGGAGAGGCACACAGGGACCTGGGGCAAAGAACTGGGGAAGAGTCACTTGGGATTCTGGGGGAACATATGGAACCAGGCTCTGGATAGTGTGGCAAACCCCATAATTCCTTCCTGGAAAGGGACTGCCAATATTCCAGGTGCTCTGTTTCAAAAGGCCCCATTTAATGACCATAAATGAGACTGTTCTAAACAGCCATCTGTTGCCCACCTTTTGCAAATATTTAATTCCGTTCACATTCTATTCACAAGGGAAATGGTGACTCAGAGCTGTTTGCCCACCATGAATCTGTCCAATGGAATGATTAATGAATACTAAATGTCAGGCACACAAAGACAGCTGGGACCACGGGGACACTGGGGAGACCTGCCCTCTCGGAGGATAACTGGTGAGGAGTCGTCGCTTTCCCTCCCTCTCCCCCCTTCAGCTCCTCATCTCCAAATGCGAGGGATGGGGCAGCACCTCTCTCCTGGGAGGCTTTCTTACCAACAGCTTCATCAGGAAAAGACACAAGAAAGAAGCGAGGAAGGCTGCTCTCCACGTCTCCCCCACCAAGTCCAAGGCCTTCAACTCATGGCTTTCCACTGTCCCTCCCCATCTCCTTCCCGAATACCTTGGTTTCCAAATTTTAAACTCCATCCTGCCTTTTCCCGGACCTCTTCCCACCTCATCCAAGGAAGAATAAGCACGGTAAATGGCAGCCACCCCACCGTCTCGTGTCTCCTGATTTAAACCCTGCTTACCTCAACCATGTCATGAGCATTACAACTTTTGGCTAAAAAAACTGTAACTATCAATATTATTATAGGGAGACAATGTGTCTTCCAGATGCCCATTCAGAGCATATTGCACAAATTGGGGAGTTCTCACCTAGCACATGGTTTCCAACAATTATAAGGAAGATATATTTTCTTGGGTTTTTGGTTCCCTCTATAAATTTTTCCACCCAATGGGCTATTATTTATTTTTATTTATTTTTTTTATTCTTATGTTAATCCCCATACATTACATCATTAGTTTTAGATGAAGTGTTCCAT